GTGAGCCTGTTCCCTAGCGTGGAACCTGTAGGCCCACGTCTTCCTCAGCCCCTGGGCACCTCCCTCTTTTATTAAGCCCTAATCCTGCCCCCCACCCATGTCCTTCCAGGGTGGGACCGGGTTCCTTCCTCCCCTCGGTGCATCCCAGGGTGTTGGGAGCCACTTGAAAAGCCCCCTCCCGAGCCCTCCCTTCCTCTGGGATGTGCTCATCCCGACAAAAAGAGAGGCCGTGTTCGTCGCAATCCTGGGGCTGCCTGGTGCCCCCCGCAGCCCCGATCCCCAGCGAGGCCTCCTGCCTGGCTTTTCTCCCCTGCCACTCCACCCGCCTGGGCCACAAACAGCTGATCGGCAGAGGCAATCCCCACAGCGGTGAGCCCGTCCGTGGCAGTGGCGATCCTGTGGCCTCGCCTTGGCTGGGTGGAGGTGAGGCGGCCTTCTCTCCACCCAGCTCCAGCCCGGCAGCCTCCCAACTGGCACTGTGTGAGCCTGCCCCAGCCAAGCGGGGACTGCGGCCAGCCTAGGACGGGCATCATCATCCGGTGGTTTCGGTCCTGTCTGGCTGATTGGTCCCAGAAGTGGGACTAGGGGACCCCTGCTCTAGCAGGCCAATTACTACTCCCCACCCCATTTTTTCCTTACATACCATCTGGGCCTGGCAAACGTTTCCCAAGTAAGCAACTGACAGACCATCTTGAGACTGTGTCTCCTGCTGATCTTGAGCTGTTGACAATGTCAGTGTCTGACTTGCAATCAGATGCATACTCCGCTGTTGTGGGGCACTCTTTTCCATTAACAGGGGGCATCGAGCCCGAATATGGCCCCGTTGCTTACAGTAGTAACAGCCTGACACAGCTGGCCTAGGGCTGGTAAGTCCTTTTTGCTCCTGAGCAGGGGCTTCCACTTGAGCTAGAGGGCATCGCTTGGGAGTTGGAACTGGTGGTCTTTGCTGGTATTCAGTCCTTGGCTGTCATGAGGGTGGGAGTGAACGATCTTCCATATACTTGACAAATGCAGGGTGCTGAGGCTGTAATGGCTGGCTCGCAGCAGCGATTTCATCCAACACCTCTGCAAATGCACGTGTATTCCTGGGTTTTGAGCACAGGCTAAAGCTGCATGCTCTTGAGGGATGACGCGAAGAATTTGTTCTCTCACTATTAACTAAAAGACGTCTTGAAAAGTGTATACTCGAGCGCTATCTGCCCACTTCATGCAAAGTCTCTCGACTCTACTGGCAAATGCACTATAAGACTCTTCTGGCCTGAAATTAGCAGCACGGAAGCATCTTCTCAGTTGTTCTGTATCAATCAATAAACCTTTAATGGCATATACAACATTAAAATCAAAGACAGAAAATGACACAATCAACTAAAAGTCTAGGTTAATTATAAAATCATGAAACGGACTTTCCCAAATTTTTCACTCTCATCACGTCCACTAAAAAATTGGCCACTGCCACAGTAATCTCTGCTGTTACATCGTTCAATAGAAATTGGCATTTTATTTCATTGGAAAGGTGATGTCAGTTGTTCTGTAGAGAGCCCGAATTGCTGGAGAGCTGGAAGTTTGAAATGCCGATAGTCTCTCGCTTGATCTGGGGCTAGTTGAGATAGAAGCTCAGTTTTAGATCAAAAACACAAAAAAACAGGA